CTTCCTTCCTTCCTTCCTTCCTTCCTTCCTTCCTTCCTTCCTTCCTTCCTTCCGTCCTTCCTTCCGTCCTTCCTTCCTTCCGTCCTTCTCCTTCCTCCCCTTGCTCCCCTTCCCTGAAGGCTGTGGGGCTCTGGTGTGTTTGCATCCTGGGGCTGACCTCAGGACATCCTTCCTGCTGGTCCCAGGGGCCCATTTCATGGGGTACCCCCCAGTGCAAGGCTGGGTGGGAGTTGGTGCAGCTGCTTTGAAGGGACTGGCATCGTTTTTAGTGGTGGCCGCTCCCCTTCCCTGAAGGCTGTGGGGCTCTGGTGTGTTTGCATCCTGGGGCTGACCTCAGGACATCCTTCCTGCTGGTCCCAGGGGCCCATTTCATGGGGTACCCCCCAGTGCAAGGCTGGGTGGGAGTTGGTGCAGCTGCTTTGAAGGGACTGGCATCGTTTTTAGTGGTGGCCAAAAGCAAGAGGTGATTTGCAGCCTCTCTGCCTGCAGCCTGGGGGAAGCTGGGGCTGGACTCAAACAGAAAACAGAGAAAAAACAGCCTGACAAGGGGCAGGTTTGTTAATGAAAACCCTCTGATTGCTAAGGGAGGCTCCTTGGGAAGCTGTGCCACGGGGTGCTCCATGTGAGCTCCATCCCTCCCCGGTTTCAGAGGGAATCTCCCTCCCTGCCCTCTGTCTGCTGCCTGTCCCTGCTCTAAGGTGGTTGTTACTCCTGATGGGGAGCAGCAATATTGGGTCTCCTGAGGATGCTTCCAGGATCTGCTCAGCCTGAGGCTCCCTCTGCTGTCCATCTGCCCATCCTGCCTGTCACCCTCTGGCCTTTTCTCCTCTCCCCTCTGCTTTTTTCCACCCTCTCTTTCTTTTTTTCAGCCCCTCTTTTTCTCCCTCCCTCTTCTCCTTTCCCCCACCTTCTCTTTTTTCCCCCCCTCTCTCATTTCTACCAGGACAGGAATGAGCCTGCACCCTGGGCAAGGCAGCCTGATCCCCCCTTTTCCAGAGGGACAAGGCAGTGGGATGATGCAGGCAGCTTGTCCAGGAGGGAACAGGGACAAGCTTGAGGGTCCAATTTTGCTTTTAAGGAAGTAAAAGGTCATGGTGAGCTTCTGGCAGGAGCACACAAAGTGCTTTTTTGGGAGCTTTTAGCCCAGAGGAGGCTAAACTGTGGGGTTTCCCCTGTTCTGCCAGCAAACCAGCTGCTGCAGCTTCTCCCTGGGGAAACACTTCTCCAAAATATTTCACCAGCTGCTAAGTTCCCTGACTCTGCCTGGCTGTTTGGTCATGGCAGAGCTGGGCAAGCTGGGCTGGAATGCTCTAGTGCCACCTGTGCCACCAGGCCACCCTCTGAGCTCTTATTTTTGCAAATCCTAGGCCCCTTTTTTTTTTTTTTGGGGGGGGGGGGGATGGCCCTGGCTCCTTCCAGCTGGTGTGGAGATGTGCAGTGAAACAGAGGCTTAATGAGGGCTGGTGGTGGCAGCCCCATGCACGGGGAGGTCCCGTGGGGTTTCTGCTTTGCTCTGCTCCACTATCATGAGCTGCCTAATGGCAGCAGGAGGGAGAGAGGGGATTTTTTTGGGCATCATGTCTGTGCACGCTTAGGGCACCTCAGCCTGGTGCTGCCGCCAAAATCCTCCTGGCTGAGGCAGCTCATCAGGGCTCATGGTGCTCCCTCCTGGCTCCAGGAGCTGCCCTGGGAATGCTGCACAGCTCCAGGGGTGTGTGTGTGTGGGGGGGTGGGCTTGAACCACATCCCAGCTCCAGACTGTCACCCCATTTATCTCCCCCCGAGGTTGGGGAAGAGGCAGTGGGAACACTTTTTCTCCCTCAGCAGTGGGAGAGGAGCAGCAGCAGTCCCTGGCATCCCTCTCGGGCATGCCAAGGATGTTGAGGGGGGGGGGTCCCCCACCCCTGCTGGGAGGT